GAGGCCTGGCCTCGGTCTTTATTGAATAATTTATGCGTTACATTAAAATAATGAGTTACATGAATTACTACAGGGACTTTTTTACATTTTAATTAAGCGTGTGGGATTTTTTTTACATTAGGTATTGAAATCGCCTAAATTTTTCTAATTGTCTAATCGTTTAATTCAGCCGGCATTAAGAGAGTCTGCGTGTGGTTACTGTTTTTTAACATGTTCTTATGATAATGTAGTTTTTGTATAATTCTGTGATAGTTTAATGGAAAGATATAGTTAATACAAAATAAAGTAACTAAGTATATTAATATAGTGATAATAAACTTGCAAAAAACTATTTAAGCATATACTATAATAGAAATATTAAGTAAATTGCTGCAAAAAATGAGGAACCAAGTTAAAAAAACAACAAAATAGGATATATTGCGCTATAAATTTGTTGTGTTGATAATAACTTTTTTTTTATATTTGTGCCCATATAAAAATCGACCCGATTCAGAACTGGCAAGTTTAGCCCAAACTATACGAACTAGAATTTTTTTTTATTCTAAACCCTAATTCTTGCCTTAACTCTAGAAGAATGAAATGATGGTGCAGAGTTTTAAGCTTCTTGCAGAATTTTATTTTGCATCAGTATGTACTTATGTACATATGTACTGGAATCTGTTCACATAAATAGTATATTATGATAGCGTGAGATTACAAAATTTGATCTAAATCACAGCAGAAATCGTCGTCTCTGTCTTGGGATACATAACAGTCATGAGACAACCTTGGAAAGTTATATTGTTATTAAGTTAGGTTCGTTTTGGATTATGAAGTTTGAAGTGTTTGTATTTATAATGTAAAGTTATGTAAGAAAATTTTATTAAGGAGCAAAAGGTGCTTAATTAAGCCAAAAATTTGCGATACAGAATTTCCGATTTCTTCAAAAGAGTGTTTTTTTGTTTTTGAATTTTGAATTTCTTACAACTGATGTTGAATTCTCATTTATTTGGGTCGGATCATCATATGAACGGACAATCGATCTTAAATACATTAAATACGTAGTACGTATACTATTTTTATTTGTTATACTCTAGTGCTAGTAAGTTGATTTATAAAAAATCGTAAATCGGTTTTGACATTTAAATCTTCACGCAATTATTGTGGCAGCTGAAGCTGAGGTTTTGAAATATTTTAATATTAAATTTTAAAAAAATTTTGGGCCTTTTTTGTCAGCTTTTTTTTTAGAGTTACGTTAAGGTTTAGGGATAGTTTTATTAATAGAAGAATACAAGTGAATTTTAGTAGGCATTATAGATTTAAATAAAGACTCCCAATCTCAGCTTCAGCCAATCTCAGCTTCAGCCGCCACAATTATTGATAAAGTAAAATATATATCAAGTATCGCTTATGATTATCTCACACGTAAAAGCTTTATTATACTATGTTTTTTAATATGTGATTGTAGAAAATAATAGCTTTTTTATATTATTAATGCAATTATATTATTAATGCAACTAAGTGTCAATCAATAAACATAATTTAACAGAATTCAACGCATTTACTACGCCATGATATATTTACCCTTTCGTTTGATTCATAACAAAATTAATTATCGAACGGATATTGAAACTAACGAAAAAAATATATAAAATGTCATGAAATTGACACTAAAAATTCTCATTCTCAATTCGATTCACCTATGAAAAGAAATATTTTACAAGAAATAAACAAAATGACTCTCGCTTCAATAAAATTTATTATCGCTTTATTTGCACTTTTCACGATCTTACCAAACCTTGTCGCTCCTTTGCCGAGTCCTATTGATAGCAGTTCAACCCCAATGTCAAAGGATGATCATCAATTATATAAACGATGTTTCTTCCCAAGATTTTATTCTTTCGGATGTGCTATGCCTTGTTTCTTTTCTTGTCAACCAGCGGTACCAGCAGTGATGCCTATGACCCCCATGCAACCAATGCAAATGCAGCAAATGCAACCGACGCAGCCAATGCAAATGCAGCAAATGCAACCGACGCAACCAATGCAACAAATGCAACAAACCGGTCAAAATGGTGGAGCTCAAAATGATGGCGGCCAAGATGATGGCCAAAATGATGACGACCAAAATGATGACGGCCAAAATGATGACGACCAAAATGATGAAGGCCAAAATGATGATGGCAAAAATGACGGCAAAAAGGGTGGCGGCAAAAATGATGACGGCAAAAAGGGTGGCGGCAAAAATGATGGTGGCAAAAGTGGTGTTGGCAAAAGTGGTGGTGGCAAACATGGTCGTGGAGAAAAATGCCCAAATGGTAATGGTAATGAACGTAGAAATAAACATGGTTGTCGATAGATATATTTATTTGATCTTTTATAAAATTCATATTCTTTTAATATAATGACAATATAGTTGTTTCAAGAATTTAGTATTAATAAATTTGTTAATTTTATGCAATGGACTAAATGATGTATTTTTGACGTGAAAATGCGCATGTTACGTTCAACTAAGTAAATCAAAACTATATATCTGATATGATATAATAAAAATTTGATTTTTGTGTAACGTTAAGATTGATCTTATTCATTATCGCTATAATTAACGCAATTATCAATATTAATTTATTGATAATATTTTATATTTTTTAGTATAATTAGTTATAGTCGACCCTCCGTAAGTGCATGTTGTTGGGGAATGTGTACTTATGGAGGTCTGAGTCTAAACTTTAATAAATTATTTTATTGTAATAATCGGTAAAATCATGTAAATGTATATTAATAGAGGGTGCAGTTATGGAAGGTCGGCTATATTTGGATGCAGGGCCTTTACTACTAAAATTATAAACTCAAATTTGAATGGATCGATAAAATGTCTTTATCATGCAAGTTACAGAACTAAATTTTAAAAAATTTTACTGGCAGTTAAATTTCGTCCAGGTTATTCAAGCAACATATACAAAATAAAGCAAATTAGAAAAGGAATTTTTACTCTTATGTAATTTAAAAAATGAATCTGTAACATTGTTATTAGAATAGAAAAAGTCAATCGACGTAAAACTTTCTACTAAAAAAGAAAATCGCAACCTGTGCTTTAATTTAAAAAAAAAGCACGTCTGAATGTATATAAAAGGAAAAAGCAAGTAAAAAAATAAAAATAAATAAAAATAAAAAAGAATAAAAAGGCAGAGATTAAAAAGAAAGGGTTGGGAACCAAAAAAAAAAAAAAAAAATCTGAATACAATCCTTAAAAAAACCAAGCCAATAGTCATCGATTGTCAGATTCTGTAATT